TGTGCTCCACTCCCCTCTTCTCCTCCTGTTTTTCTATGCTCACCCCCCCGTCTTCCCTCCTCTCCCTGACTGCCTCACTCTCCCTCTCTTCCGCTCTCCGCCTCCCCCTGCTGCCTCACCCCCCCCCTCCCTTCCCTCCCCTCTGTGCCTCCCCCCCTCCTTCTCCCCTCTCCTGTTTTTTTTGCCCCCCCCCCCTCTATCCTCCCCTCCTGCTCCCTCCCCTCTTTTTCCCTTCCCCTCCTGTGCCCTTCCCCCCCCCCCTCTTCCCTCTCTCCTGTGCCTCACGCTCCCTTCTTCTTTCCCTCCCCTCCTTGTTGCCCCCTCTTCCCCTCCCCCCCCCCCCTCTTCCCTCCCCCTTGTTGCCTCCCCCCCTCTTTCCCTCCCCTCCTGTGTAGCCCTCCCCCCCCCCCTTTCCTCCCCTCCTGTGCCTTCCCCCCCCCTCTTCCCTCCTCTCCTGTGCCTCACCCCCCCCTCCCCCTCTCCCTTCCCCTCCTGTGCCCTCCCCCCTCTTCCCTCCCCTCCTGTGGCCTCCCCCTCCTCTTCCCTATCCCCTCCTGTGCCTCCCCCCTCCCTCTTCCCTCCCCTCCTGTGCCTCCCCCCTCTTTCCCTCCCCTCCTGTGCCTCCCTCCCTTCTGTCCCTCCCTCCGACCCCCCCTCTTCCCTTCCCCTCATGGCCTCAACCCCCCCCTCTTCCCTCCCTCCTGTGCCCCTCTCTTCCCTCCCTCTCCTCTCCCCTCCCCTCCCTTTCACTCCTCTCTTTGCCTTCTTTTCCCTTCTCCTGCCTTCCACGCTCCTTCTCTACTCGTCCTCTACCTCTCCCTTCCCCTCCTTCCCTCCCCTCCGTCCCCTCCTCTTTCATCACCACCTCCCTTCCCTCCCTCCCTCCCTTTCATCCACCACCCCTCCCTTCCCCTCCCTTTCCCTCCTTCATCCACCCCCTCTCCCCCCTCCCACCCACCCCACAAGGTATTTTTATTTAATGAAGTTATCAATATGCCATTTGGGTGCTTTTAGGGGGGGGTGAGAGAGGGAGGGAGGAGGGGGTGGGGCGAGGAGGGAAAGGGAGATAGGGGGCGAGGGAGACGAGGGGTAGGGCGATGGAGGGAAGGGAGGTGAGGGAAGGGGGAAGGGGGATAGGGGGCGAGGAGAGGAAGGACTGGGGGGTGGGACCAGGGAGGGAGGGGGGTGGGAGGATAGGGAAGGAGGGGGGTGGGACAGGGATAGAGGAGGGAGCGAAGGAGGGAAGGTTAGGACTTGTTTGAGGAGTACAGGAAACGCGCTCGAGTGGAGGACAAGGAAGATGCGGTTCCGGTAACGGTGGGCGCTGGAGGAGGTGGGGTATGGGGCTAGGGATGGAAGGGGTAGAGTGATTGGAGGGGGGATAGGTGGGAGGAGGGGAGGGTGATGAGGAAGGGGATAGGGCGTGAGAGGAATTAGGAGCGAGCGGCACAGGAGGGAAGGAAGGAGGGCAGTACGGCAGGCAAGGAGGGAGGGAGGGAGTAGAGCAAGGGAGGGAGGGAGGGGGGCTATCCGGACGTCCCATACGCCGCTGCCGTAAAAGAAATTCGTTGATCCCGGAGGCGTCGGCGAAGGGCGTCCGTGCTCCTCCTTCAGCTTCCCGGGCGAAGGAAGGACCGAGGAGGAGTCCTGTCGGGTGCAACGAGGAGGTCAAGGAAGAGAAGGTGGGGGCGTGGCGGGGGGCGGGCGACGGGAGACGCTCGGAAGCCATCATCTACGGTATTGTCTTTGGAGAAAGGGTAGGCGCGCATACACCCAAACAAACAGACGCATAAACAAACATACATGCACCAAAAAAAAAAACAAACACATACAATGCAAACAAACAATCACAAGCACAAATAAACATCCAAATAATAATTCCAGGCACAATAACACACATACTCAAACAACAACAAACAACAAATCAAACAACCAACCAAACAAAACAACACAAACACTACACGCACAATAATCACAACACATCACACTCAAACCAAACAGTCACAAACAATCACAATCACAAACAAACAAACACATACTCGCACTCTCAAACAAACAATCACAAACCCATACATACACCGCACCCCAAACAAACAAACAAACAAACACACAACAAAACAACAATACACAAACAAACAAACCAACACACGCACACCCCGACGGAAAAGTAGCGCACGTGCCACCCACTCGAGACGCCCACCGGCCGTGACTCAGACATCCGCACGACGGCGTTCGGATTAGCTAATCCCGGAGAAAGTCCGATTAAGCGAAAAATGAGAAAGGAATTCACGTACTCACTCTCTCAGGTCTGCCACGTCACGCCCGGCCGCCTCATCTGCATTACGACTGGGGCAGGGAAAGCGGTGGAAACGGGGGTTTTTTGTTTTTGTTTTGGTTTTTTTTTGTTTTTTTGTTTTGTTTAGTGTTTTTTTTTACGTGTTTTTGATTTTTTTTTTTTTTACTGGAAAAGCGGAGGGAAACGTTTTTTTTTTTTTTAGTTTTTTTTTTGTATTTGTTTTATAGTCCTGTTTTTACAGGA